CCAGCGACATAGCCATTACACTAACTGCTGGTCCCGGGATCTGGTTGTCTTAACCCGCAAGTCATGGAGGCAACCCTCAGATAAATTTTTTTTCCCCCTCCAGTTTTGACATCTGGGACAAGTTACTGTGGGATGAACAGTGAAGAGATAGGATTTCATGGGACCAGCGGTTAGCGTAATGGCTATGTAGCTGAACTCCCATGTAGTCGACTGCAGTTCAAGTCCTGGACCCAGTGGCTTAAACTCATGCCGGGCACGTGTGCATGTGTACCCAAGATCCGGAGAGGAGAATAGAGGAGAAGGGATTGCAGCATGGCCATCCCTCCTGGGGGGGTGATTTCTCGCTTTCTATCTCTCTGTCTCTGTCTTTCTGGCGAGCACATGTGCCTTATAGCAAAAATCTCTCCAAAAAAAGAAAAAAAAAGAGAGAGAGGATTTGAGAGACTTGTTATAAAAATGCCCTACTCATTAAGTTAAGCAAAAAAAGACACAAGCTTGAGACAGCCAGTCATATTGTGAGCCTGAGGTGGGATGAATCTCTTGAAAACCTCACATTTTGAGACACATTAAAAAACTCTCTTACAGGTAGCAAAATGGTAGTTACCAGAGGCTGATCGGAGGGGTAAATAGGATGTTTGTCAAAGGATGCTAAGTTGCAGTAAGGAATAAATGGTAAGTATTGACAATGATGGATGTGTTAATTAGCTTCATTCAGTAATTCTACACTGTATATATACATATAACATCACTATGTACCCTGTAATTATATACAATTATAATTTGTCAAAATACAATTTAAAAAATAAAAAATAATTTTGAGAATAAACTGTTTACCCCAAATTATTTTTAAATATATGAGGCTTTTAAGAAAACTTTTTGGACCATAGGGACACCAGAATTGGATCAGTCATTATCCTTGGTTCCTAATTTTCATACATCCTTGGCATAGTTGGTTCATACATCCTTCCATGCTTGGTTTACTCTTATTTATGTGTTAGCTATTTGCCTTTAATGATGTATAAATCCTCTATAAACTCAACCCCCAAGGATATCTAATACCTAACTCCATGTTCTACCCCTAATCTTCCTATTCCATTCCTCCTCCCACCTGTGGTAACTGTCATTCTGACTTTAATATTCATCATTTGTTTGTTTTATGTGATTTTAGCAACTTTATGCATATTCCTAAATATGTGTATATATTTATCTTTAGTTTTTAAAATGACTGTCATGCTGGGGGGCCAACAGGTGGTGTGGCAGTTGAGGCACAGGACTATCACATGGCTGACCATGGGTGGAGTCTTGGACCTGTTGGCTTGCTTTCTCACTTTCCCTTTCTCTCTCTGTCTCTCTCTGGCAAAATTAAAATAAAATAATAATAATAAATAAAATTTAAAAAGAAGACTGTCATTCTGTGCCTTAGTATACTTTGTGTTATAACAGAATACTACAGACTAAGTAATTTATAAAGAAAAGAAATATATTTCTTACCATGCTGGAGGTGGGCCCACTATCAAGGTCAACATCTATCAAGGGCCTTATTGTTGCATCTTCCTGTGGCAGAATACAAAAGGGTAAGAGAGGGTAAGAAGTCAAAAGCTTGAAGTCACAACTTCAAGCCCTGTTGTAACTGGTATTAATTCACAGATGAGGGTGGACACTCATGACCAAAACACTTCCCACTAGACCTCACTTCCCAAATTCTGGTGTTTTAGGGAATAATGTTCTAGAACGTGGTTTTGGGGGACACTTTCAAACCATCTCATACTATACATAATCTTTTAGAACTTAATTTTTCCTTAATAGTGTTATAATTTACGTGGTTCTATTAATGTATAGCATTCTTTTTGAATATTGTATAATATTATGTTATATGTGTTAAAAAATAATCTGAGGCACGATAACATGTTAGATTGTTTATTTGAATGAGAAGCAATTCATGAGTTGAACACCAAACTGAAGTTTAGTGTTCCAATGATAAAATGTCAGAGGTAAGTATTTACTGGAAAAAATGCAGAAATGAAATGTTATTTGATTGGTTTGCAATGACAAAATTGTCCCTTTTAGGTACCTCACTGAAAAATCCCTAGTCGGGGACCAGCAGTTGGTGTAATGGCTATGTTGCTGGACTCTCATGTAGTCAACTGCAGTTCGAGTCCCAGACCTGGTGGCTTAAACTCATGCCAGGTTCTTGTGTGTGTGTGCCTAAGATCCCGAGAAGAGAATAGAGGAGAAGGGATTGTGGCGTGGCCATCCCCCTGGGGGGTGATTTCTCACTTTCTGTCTGTCTCTCTCTGTCTTTCTGGCGAGCGTACGTGCCCTATAGCAAACACCTCGCCACCCTCGCTCAAAAAAAGGAAAGAAAACTCTCTAGTCATACAATCATATATTAGGAAACTACTTATGATTGGCTGCCATTGTGTTTTATTTTTGTCTAACATAAGTATTTATCAGAAATGACCACATTAAGTTTTGTTTATATTTGCAGATCATGTAAGGTTGATCTGTCAGAATGATTTTGTCTGCCCAGGGATTCTTCAGGCCTGGTCTTCATATAAATCACTCTGTAATCACATCCCCAGTGATTGAAGTATCTCTTTTTTGCATGTCTTCTTTTAAAAACAATCCATATTGTGACCAACAGATGGCACAACAGTTATGTTGCAGGACTGCTGCATAGCAGACTGTGGTTTGAGTCCTGGACCTAGCAGCCTGAAACTTATGGCATGCACATATGTATGCATGCCCAAGATCCCAGGAGGAGAAGAGAGAAGGGTTTGCAGCATGGCCATTCCCCTGGGGGTTGATTTCTCACTTTCTCTTTCACTGTCTTTCTTTTTCTGGTGAGTGCACATGCTCTAAGGTCAAAACCTTTCCAAAAAAAAAAAAAAAGAATGCATATCTATACACACACACACACACACACACACACACACACATATTTTTTTTTTTTTTTTTTTAGGTTTTTGCCATAGGGCACATACACTCGCTAGAGAGAAGGGGAAAGTGAGAAATCACTCCCCCAGGGGAAATGGCCATGCTGCAATCCCTTCTCCTCCCTTCTCCTCTTAGGATTTTTGGGCACACACACACACATGTACCTGGTGTGATTTTCAAGTCAGTGGTCTGGGACTTGAATGAGTTAGCTATGTGGGAGTCCAGCGCCTTAACTACCACACTACCTGCTGGTCCCCACGTATTATTTTTTGAAAACAGAATTAAGGGGCCTGGCAGGTGACATGGTGGTTGGGGCGCAGGACTCCCACATGGCTGACTGTGGTCCGAATTCTGGACTTGGCAGCTTGCTCTCTCATTTTCTCTCTCTGGTCAAATTAAAAAATAATATTAATACATTAAATTAAATAACAAAAAAACTTTGATGAGAACAAGGCATTACAAAAAAAAAAAAATTAGGAGGCCAGCTTGGTGACCTGATGTTTAAGGCAATTGTATGCCACATGGCTGGTCATGCAGTTTTGAGTCCTGGACCTGGCTGCTTGAGAAGCGTACCAGGTTCATGTGCATGCATGCTCCAAATCCTGACAGAGTGGAGAAATAGAGAAGAAAGGATTGTAGTATGACCATTCCACAGGAAGGGTGTTTTCCCCTTTCTTTCCCTGTCTTTCTGTCTCTCTCTGGTGAGTACATGGGTCCTTTAGCAAAAAAAAAAAAAAAAAAAAAAATCAATCATTCAATAATAATTAAAAATGAGTGATTATTACTTGCTTTTTTATAGTAATATATCATGAATATTATTACTTGTCAATATCTAATGATACATTTAATTGTTTTTATTAAAGTTTTTCTTTTTCCTCATATTATTGGGAGATGAGAGAGTGACA